TTTATAAAGAAAAGAAGTTTATGTAATTCAATATTCTGCCATTTATTCTCAAGAGTTTGTTATATTTAAAGCTTCATCCTGGGGTTTCATAAACTGACTTCCAGACCACTCACGTATAATCGAATCAAGCCTTTATTGAAGCACACTGGTGGTGACTGACCAGAGCATAAAGCTGTTCCCCTGATCAACTGCAAGGGCTCTTTGTCTAAGCCTGAAAACCACAAAAACGATGTTCGGGGGTCCAGCCAATGCAAGCAAGCCAGGTTACAGAATCAGGAGAGTGCAGTCAAGCGGCGGGAAGCCTAACCAATCACAGTTAGCCCAGTCACCCCAGTTACAGAAACAATGCCCCCTTAGGTAGTTCTGTGTTCTCAAAGGTCTCTATAGCAAAAGGAAAAGAACATCTTGCCCCAGTCATGACCCTTCTACTTGGCATGGCTGCTTTACAGAATGGAGCCACAAAACAAAATGGAGTCACCTTTGCTTCTACTATCACAAGTTAATGGAGCGATAACATAGGGCAAGTTAACCCTTCAAGGACAACACCTGAGAAGGGAGAGCTTCTTCTCCCCTTTCTTTCCTCCCCCTCCAGCTGTTACCATGGAGCCCAATTGGTAACTTCTCTGGGAAGGGCCAGGCTGACTTTTTAATCACAACCAGCTTTTTCAGGAACCATCCCAGTTCTGCAAGATCTATGCAAATCTCCTCTGAAAATGAGACCCCCCCACCCCAATGACCTAATTACCTCCCACTAGGACCATCTCTGAAAAGTTCCACCAGCTCAACAAAGCTAGACCTTCAGCCCACAAACCTGTGTCCCCACACTGAGACCCTCTCCAAACCAAAACTCAACAGTGACAATGGTGACCTGAAAGGTCCTTACCGTCTGTCTACCTGACCATCTCTCTACGTCCCTTCATACGATCGTACCTGAAGCTCCCATCACCTCTCTGGGTGTTCATCAGGGAGAGGTGGCTTATTCAATAACTCTCTTGGCTAAATTTAAGTTGGGTTTCTCCTAGTACCTATGGTAGAAAGTACCAGTGTGCATAAATGCATACATCAGACCGTCTGCAGAGTGTTTCTGACTGCACTTTTACCAGCGGATCACACTTGGGATTGGCAGGTCAAGACCGGGGATGTCATCCCGAGGGCCTCCAGAGCTCAGCGCAGGCCCTGCCTTCCCCCTGCCGTCTACCTTCAGGGGTAATTACTGACTCTAGCAGCGTATGTTATTTTTTTTTCCCTGAGTTTCGTGTTTCATGTTAACAGAACCATGTGTTCTTATCACTCGGCTCTTACCTCCCTACAGGATTTGTGACAGTCGCCTGTGCTGCTGTATGTGGTTGGGACTCGTTCATTATCAGTGCTGTAAAGCCATCCATGGTGTGACTGTGCCCGGGTTTGTCCGTCCTACTCTTGTTGGGCGTTTGAATAATGCGTTAACCTCCTGAGATCACCATAACCAAATACTATAGTCTGGGTGGCTTCAACAACGAATGATTTTAGCAGAGTTTCTGGAGACTAGAGGTTCCAGATGAGAGTGCTGGCTGATTCTGTCCCTGGGGAGGGAGCCCCTCCTGGCTTGTAGATAGTCACTTCCTCACTATGTCCCCATATGGCTTTCCTTCTGGATGTGTGGTGTTGGTGGGGTAGAAGGATCTGGTGTCTCTTCTTATAAGGACACGGATTTTCCTTGTCTAGAACCTGACCCTCGTGACCTATTTAACCTTGGTTACCTCCATGAACGCTCTATCTCCACATACAGGCACCTTGTAGGCTGAGAATTCGAGATAGGAAGCTCAGTGTGTGTGGGGGGGTGAGTCAGGTTTCCATCACTGTGACCCAACAACCTGACAAGGACAACTTGGAAGATGAAAGATTTATTTGGGCCAATGGTTTCCAGAGTTCAGTCCTTGGCAGGCCAACCCCATTGCTCTGGGCCCAAAGCRAGGTAGAACATCATGGCGGAGGGTGAAGGCTTCTCCAGAGGAGGGGTGCTTCTCCATTCACGGGTGCTCAGAAGCAGAGAGAGGGAAAGGGCCACAGAAAATCTGAGCCCTCCCATGGACCACCCCAGGGCCCACCTCCTCCAGCAGTGCCCCCACCACTCAGTTAATCCGTTTGGGTCGGACTGATTAGGTTACAGCTGTCCCAATCTAATTATTGCACTTCTGAAATTTTCTATATGAACACATGCCGCAATCCGGCTGGGCACAGAAACACAAGCCGCTCAAGCAGGAACAAAGCTTTATTTTCAAAAGGCCGCCAGTCCCCGTGTGTGCCCTGCTAACAAGCCGGTCGACACACGTGTCTCCCCACCAGAACCGGGGGCCTGGACCTCCCCCGGAAATTCCCTCCTACTATCCTTCCCCAACCAATGGGAACTCTCCGGGAGTCCCGTAATAGGCCGAGGTGAACAGCATGAGTCCAATTTCCATATGAATGTAAAGCTTAACATAATCATAGCATCTCAATGGCTAGCTGGCAGTCACCTAAACCAAAGGTGCCATGTATCATAATACTTTTGCTGTGGCTCCTAGCAAACACAGGTGGTTTAGGGGACTCCTGGTACACAAGCCATAATGGGGGACATAATTCAGTTCATTACAGATAGTGTTGTAGGGACAAAGGAGGCAAGGCACCGAAGACAGCAGTTTTATTTGGCTGCAGCCAGGTTCAGAGGGCACAGCTTTTGCTGTAATCAATCAATCCCCTGAACCCCGAGTTCAGGGAGTTTCAGAGTTTTATACCCAACATGTAAGGGGAGGGGCTCAGAAGTTCACAGTCGTCTGCAGAAGTTCACATAAAAGCAGCTTTTTCTTTCACTGTTTTGGGCAAGTTGACCCTTCAAGGACAACTCCTGAGAAGGGAGAGCTTTTTCTCCCCTTTCTATCCTCCCCCTGCCAGCTGTTACCATGGAGCCCAGTTGTAACTTATCTTAAAAATGTAGACTTCTCTGTGAAGCCCAGCTCAAGGCCAGAGGCCTTGTTTGTTCATTTCTACAAACTACTATACTGGATACATGTTTGTGAGCATAGTAAGGGGGTGTCCAGCACCTGCAGTGCTCATATCTTCCTGGCCAGTGGCCAAGTAAAACAGGGCGACATGGAAATAGGAAGTTTATCTACATTGGACTCTTTTGCAGAGACTCTTTTGCTGACAGTCCTAAAATCAGCCATGGTGAAGGTTTTTGGAGACTTTTCTGTGGAGAAAGGGGGTGCCATTTCAATAGTTTTAATGAATATTCTTGAACATGTCTTTTAATAAGAATATATGTGCCTTTCTCCTTGATAACTACCCAATTTGCTTTCCTGCCAGAAAACAAGGATCATTCTGTATTGTTTTCAATATTTGGTGCTCTCAGCATAACTGCTGTTCATTGGTCCTTTTTTATACTGTACATCTCCTTGGTTAGTTTTATTGTATAAAATGATTTACAGAAGTGCATGTCCCCAAATAGGTCACTGATGGTTGGTTGGTTATTTAAGAGCCAGGACACCCTTATTCATCATCCTGGCCACCACTAGGGTGACCAGGCACGGATTCCATCAAGAGTCATCATTACTGTGGCCATATCCTTGAGTCTCAGGAACCTTCTTGGCTTTGAAACTCAGATCTCAATACAGAGATGGCATTCTGCTGACCCTTGCTATTGAACGCCTGATGTTCCAATGTAATTAAGTGTTTGGAGTCCCAAGAGCCAGTCCTAGGACTGGAGAGGAAGAGAGCCTATGGGAGAATTTGTCTTTGTGGTAGGTCTAAAAGAGGGGACCAGGCTTCTCATCCCTGTTGGGGGGTTGATTTCACCCCCATTTATATGGGTTCCTATGACCTCTCAATCCAGCGAGTCCTTTGCCATCTCCAGTCTACACTCTGTTTGCTGGGGGTCTCCCTCCTCCCACTCGCTGACTTCCACCTTCTGTGCTGCTAGAGCACTTCTTGGTTTTCTATTGATCTTTCAGCTTCCAAAATGCTGTTGTGGTCTCCTCACAGGTTTGCCCAGATGGGTTYGTACCCAGGAAAACTTTAGTTTGCTGTCTTTCTGAAGAATTTGGGGATAGAATAGAATTCCCCAGATCTCTTTCCCTTACAGAAAATGGTAAATTTGTTTTTTAAAACTAAGTTTTTCAAAATAATGTCTCTCCATGGTTGACAGCTATGTTGCATCCCAGAGTGTAAATAGTGAATTATCTCTCCTGTTGTTGGTCATTCTGATTTTTTTCACCTTTAATGAGGTGACCATCTCTGGATGTCCACTGCATAGGCAATCTCTGGAGTTACTCCTGGAGAAAGGTGTTTCCAAATGTAGATCTTGTTATTATTACTGAGGTATGAAAAGGCCAAGGTCATCAGCTGAGGAGATGACGGCTTTACAAAGAGTTTGCTGCTCCATGTTCCCAAGTCTAGGAACAAACACTTTGTGCACATGGGGAGGGGGTCACACGGGGAAGCACTGGGGTCAGACAGCAGGTGGGGGTCTGTGAATAAGAGGCTTTATTTTGGTTTTCGTGGGAGGGAAGAGGAGATGGGGGAAACAGGGCTAGGATTGTTAGTTTGAGTGATTTCAATGGGCTCTGGGGCTCTGGGGCTGTTCTATCTGGTACCGGGCCCAGGAGTGAGTTGGGCCCAGGGAAGCTGAGAGATGGGTTCGGATCCAATTCAGCAGCTCTAGGGCTGTGAGTGGCTTTAAATTTTCCCAGCTTGTTGTCAGGACTCCAGAAAAAAAACTTGGCCTTGCCTGAAGGCTCAGCTTGCTGGTGCCTGCTTTGGAAAGGTCACTGTGCAAAGTTTAGAGTCCTGCGAGAGAGAAAGCCTTATGTAAGAAATCGTTGGCTGAGTCTGTGGTCATCTGCACTCTGAGAGTTGGGTGGGGACTATTTAGATAAGTGGGTCAACTCTGGGTAGGAGTGGCCTTCCCAAAGACAGCCTGATGAAGGCTTCAGAAGAGAGAGTTCTCCTGCCATTTTGGATTAAGCAATTTGGCTGGGTGGGCGGGATCCAGGCAGGTCTCCCATCCCGGGACAGGAGCAGGGCATTGCAGCTGAACAACACAGAGTCTTCACTGGCCCTGGAGCTGCTGTCCTTCCAGAATGTGGCTCTATTCTGTGGTCTTGGCCTTTCTGTCTGCGAGCACTGCTTGGGGTGAGTCCTGGGGAAAGGCAAACATCAGCGGGCACATCCGGAAACCCTTCTCCTGGCCGAGTTGGGAGGAGACGTGAGTAGGGAAGAGGCATGCAGGTTCATTTCTGCGGTGCTGCTCACACTCTGGACTCGGCATTGCACGTGGAGTTGTCCAGTCCAGCCAGTRTGGGGAGGACAGAGACACTGAGACCTCACCTGCAGCCACCAGGCTCAGGGGAGCCATGAGACAACCTCATACCTCACACAAAGGAGTTTAAAGCTTGGTTTAATTYCCCCCTTATTATAAGGCCAGTTCTGGCCAGATCATGGAGGGTGACYAGCACAACATTAAAAGCACCATCTCAAGAGCCAAGTGCAGGTCTGAAGACCAACTGAGCACTTCTGAGCTGGGCATCCTTGGGCCAGGTACTTAGCTGTGCCTGGGTTACCCCATCTCTGAGATGGGGATGAAAGAGTCCCCACCTCACCAGGCTGGAAGGGGGATAAAAGGAGTGGTTTTTTAAAAGCACTTAGAATGGTGCCCCATCTAAAGGGGTACAGAAAAGGGATTGATAAATAAAGGGGATAATTTTAAGTAGAGTGAATCAATGTGATATTTGATGCATGGTAAAATAAGACAAGGAGCCCTTGGTCATTGAAAAGACAGTTTGTTACACACAGGTCCTAGGAAGTTGACCACCCCACTGTAGTGGGAGAGGGACACAAGAGGACCCACTTAGGCCATTCAGGATGCAGAGGGAGAAGGGCTTTGGTTGTGGCTCCACCAGAAAGAAGGTGAGGCAGAGCAAGCAGGTGTAGGGCTGCCTGGTTGGGATTACTTTATGGGACTTTGGTTTATAGGAGCTGTCACTGTTGTCTGGTGCCTGGCTCTGGGTCATTAGGGCAGGTGACACTGGCCTGGAGTCTGAGAACCATATATAGGAGGTGGTGTGGACGTGGGTTCTGAATTGGTTGCACCTGCAGGAGGTGGTTCCTCCAGGATAGTGGAGGCCTCACAGGTCAACACTTCAGATACAGGAAATAAAAATGGTCATTACAGGGTTATAGGGAAGGATCTCAGCATATAACTGTGTGCCATTTTATGGACAGAAAAACTGAGACTCAGAATGAAATGTACTCTCCGAAGTTTACCTGGTGAGTCAYGTACTGGTCTATCTCTGGGTCTTAATTCCAGAGGCAGTGGCCCGGACAGCAGTAGTCAAACAGCCCCCCATACCTGGGATTTCAGCTTCACTCTGGCTGGCCCTGGGTTACCCCATCGGAGGCCTGGAACCAAGTGTAAGGCAGATTAACAAAGGATCCAAAGTTCAGAMGAACCATTTGATTACTGCTGGTGGCCTCTAGTGATATCATCCTATTTCCATCTTTAGGAAGTTCATATAAGCCACTTGCAAATCCTGTTTGCCCATCTGTTCAGTGGGCATATGGACACTCACCTGCTGAAGCTTTTTTGAGAAATAATGTAAAGCAGCTGGAATGCACATCRGGTACACAGAAAGCGCCCAGTATGTGCATATTCCACATGACCTAAGAGGTGCCTGCTAATTATTGTCACCTTGTATGCCTCCCACCCCATCTGCCCATATTCCCACCCTGGGCAATCTGGCTTCTACCCACTTTATCTGGGTTGAAGGTCATCACTGAACTACTACAGGACACACCCAGAGATTTCCAATTTCTGCTCAGACTTCGCCCTCTTTCACCTCCTTGAAGCACTCGCCCAGCCCCTCCCCCTCTCCTCCCTGGGCTCCCAAGGCTCTGCCCTCCCCCACCCCCCACCCTGGAGGGTGCTCCCAATCTCAGCTGAAGCTGCCTCTGAGCTCCCTTCTCAGCTCCTGCTCTCCTCTCACCCCGGCCTCTCGGTGAGGCCACATGCACCCGTGGTGTGCACCCTCACCCTCAGGAGGACGATTCTCTGCCCCCTCACCAACTTCCTTCCGGTCTGGAGGTGCCCTGGGCCGGTGGCCTCTTGCCAGGAACATCTCCCTGACCTCCTCAGGGACCCTGCCTAACACAGAGCCAGGTTTACACGCCTGCTGTTTGGTCTTCTTCCCCTTCCACTGCCCCATAATCTGGTCAGCTCCCAGGTCCTCCTTCAATATTCAGATACATCCCCATATTTCTTTATAAAATTTTTTCTAATTCTAAAAAAGGGATCTATCTTCAGTGCAGAAATGTGAGCATGCACCAAGAAGAAAGAAAGCTGTACTGCCTGTATCTCAATGCATGAGCTTGCCTGGAGGAAGGCTTGGGGCATTGATAATAATTAACCACAGGCCAAAGGAAGCCAGCTTGAGGTTGCCCTTAATCACACGAAGCATGGACCTGGTTACGTATCCACAAGTTTCCAGTGGTTTGGGCTATTCCTCTTGATATTCATGATTTTAGTTTAGTTTAGTCTATGCCTGGTGACCTCAGGGTCTTATGACCATGTGGGACAAATAAGGCTGGACACCCAAGAAACTTTCAGGAAACAGGTTTATAGGCTGCAGGGTCCAGAGGGGCTATCACCTAAAATATTCTCCTCTGGAAGAAGAATCTGGAAATTCTTTGAACTTAATACCTAGTGGGAGGAGGGATTTGAAGGTTCACATGACAAGTGCTCTCTGTTTCATTTTTTTAGACTAGTCAGAGGTTTTACAAGTTTTTTTTTTCTTGCACACCTGGCATTTACAAAAAGAGGAAACTACCAACCAAGCTCAATGCCCTTTGCAGAAGTTTTTGCTCATGTACTGTGTGAAAAGCTTTCTGACAAGAAGAGGAACTTACATGTTACAAATAGGTGGTGGTGGGGGTTGCTTCATTATGGTAAGGGTCTTCTGGGTAGAGGTCTCTGGTCAGTTTCAATGATTTTTCAATCATAATTCAAAACATTGTAATTTGGAAACTATATTTCCATGTTCATCCTGGTGTTGTTTGTAATAACTAACCACAAGAGCAAAGCATAACCTCTGCGTTCATAGTATGGAACTGGCGATTGGTGCCATGAGAAATGGGTATTATTTTGTAAACTGGTTTCTGAGACATTGTTATTCTTCTGCTAGAACATACCTAATTCTTTTCTGGACACATGCTTTGGGGGGAATGTTGACATATTGTCTGTATCCAAAGAGGAGCATCCTGGGGGATAGGAGGATAGTAACCAGGTCCTATGATGGGTGCTCCTAGAAACTGAGGTCATTGAGGACAGACAAGACAGGACTTCAGGGTGGCCATGGTGGGGTGTCTGAAATCYACCTGCCTCAGGAAGGAAGATCAGGTTAGTTCACTCTGGTCCCAAAGCAGGTGGAACCAGGTGAAGTGAGGAAGCCGCAGGGAAACGAGGARCACAGATCTCCTCCACAATAAAGGAGGGARTGGAGCCGACAGGAACCTGACACCCAATCTCTCTCYCTCTGGGTTGCCCCCTGCTTAGAGRYACCGGAGAATGTTTTAGCTCATTGTGTTGTTTAATCTAGAATGTTCCTGCTGTTAATATGTCAAGTACACAAAATCCCTTCACCTACCCAAGGCCCTCCCTGACATGCACCTGCTCATTGCAGAGTTATCTTCTACTCTTCAGGGCCTCCGTGGGGCGGCGGTCCTAGGCCACCCACCCTTTCTCAGCCAGGGTGTTGTTTGGCTGTCTCTGAACCTTATTCCAGCTTTATCCTCTCCTCCTATCTTCTCTCATTCTCTCCTCCCTTCTGCAAGTCCCAGCTCCATATGATGCCACCATCAGAAGGCCTGGCTCCCTCTTCYACCTCCTGCAGCCCCTCCCTGGTCCCCCACCAGGAYRTGGCCTCTTTCTCCCCAGAATCAGGTCACATATGTCTGTGGCTCCTTCTCCCCCAAGGTCAGCCCTCCTGGGAACAGGGCCCCTCTTGTTGGTCCTCTTTATCAGCTCAGCACCAGGACCCTAGTGGGTACCTGCTTCCRGAAGGCTCCGTTTATCCCAAGGCCCTGCTCATTCCCAGAAGCTCTCCTGTTTTCATTGAATTCTGGCTGAGTGTGTTTATATCTCAATTCTAATCTGCCTCTTTTTCAGCCCTTTCATTAGGCTGGACATTCTCCTCATCTCTATTTCACATAAAAATACTCTGAGACCCTAAAATTTTAGGTCACTTATTCAATGTCACATGCCTAGAATGTGGCCAACCCCCCCTGGAACCCAGGTCTGGCCTTTCCCCTCTAATGTCCTCATTTGCTCCCTGTGTCCAGCAGGACACCCGTCCTCACCCCCCGTGGTGGACACGGTGCACGGCAAAGTCCTGGGGCAGTACGTCAGCCTGGAAGGATCTGCGCAGCCCGTGGCCGTCTTCCTGGGCGTCCCCTTTGCCAAGCCCCCTCTTGGGCCCCTGAGGTTTGCTCCACCGCAGCCGGCAGAGCCCTGGAGCTCTGTGAAGAACGCCACCTCCTACCCTCCTATGTAAGTGGTGGCCTGTCCCAGGGGGGTTGTCCCTCGGTGCTGCAGGAGGGGGTGGAGGCYGTCCTGGGCTTGGCTCTGCTTTCTTCTGGAATCTTCTAGAACACTTCAGAGCCCTGAGTCCTTCTGGCCTCTCAGGGGTGTCTAGAGCCCTTTGTTCAGCATCAGTTCTTGGGCACCTGTTGTGTATCAGGCATGTTGTGGGTTCCTAGAATCCATTAGTGAACAAAGCAAAGATCTCTGCCTTCCTGCGGCTTCCATCAGGGATGAGAGGCATCATGAACAACATGAAAGATGATCAATGGATTATGTGATCTATTAGAATGCGATTRGTGCCCTGAGGGAAAATTAGTTGAGCCGGTGATGGAGGTAAGGAGTAGGTATCTTATTTCTTCTGTGTGTGTGTGTGTTCACRTGCACCTTGGTGTGGTTCAGGAGTGTGATAGAGAAGTGAGGGGCGCCCTGGAAGGTTGACTTSACCTTATCTCAACTCCCAGGTGTGTCTAGATACCTAGTCCCGGGCACAGCAAAGGTGGTGCCCAGTCCCCTGGCGACCTGGGCACAGAAGCCCAAGTTTCCAGTCAGCCTCCTGGCCACCCCCAGAGCACTTCCCACACCGATGTATGTCATTTCATGATTCATCTCCCCGGCAAGGTACTTCTGATGTCCGGGATCCCACTTCCGGCTGCGTTCTTTCCTTTCTTTAAGAAATGGCATTCACTGCTTTTACCTCCTGATAGGCAGAAAAGTTAGGAAATGCTGAGAAGCAAAGCTAAGAGAAGAACTAAAATCACATGCAGTTCTGCTGCCCAGGGGGAACTGCCATKAACACTGGAAGTCACATTTCCAGACTTTGACCTGCTGCCCTCTGCTCCCTTGGGAATGGATCATGCAGACAGAGTTTGGGCGAGCACCTTGCTCATTGATCCCGGTGTCATCTTTATTCCATTTCATATCCCAGTCTGAGACTTAATTGTCACATGAAATGAGGTGTTAAAAAGTAATTGATGGCCGTGCATGGCTCGGGAGGCTGAGGCAGGAGGGCTGCAARTTCAAAGCCAGCCTCAGCGAATTAGCAAGACCTTGTCTCAAAATAAAAAATTTTAAAAAGAGCTGAGGATGCAGCTCAGTGATTAAGTACCCTGGGTTCAATCCCTAGTACAAAAAAAAAAAAGTCATTTATGGACTTTCTCTCTTATTTGGGTTCATTAAGATAGTTTTTAAATTCTCGGCATCATAAATGACTATGGTTAACAGGCAATAGCTGGATCGTTACACACATCATGGTTCCTGGAGATGAATGATCTAAGAAAAATTCCCCAGAATGGAAATTTGGAAGTGAGCTTTGCTGGGTCCACTTCTGTTAGTGGACATCTGTGTCCTCCCACCACCTGATATTCTCAAGGATTTCTTCTGCATACCAGGGTCTTCTGGTCTTTTGAGATTGGGAAATATTGTTCATAATATACTTGGAAATCTGAGCACTCTCTAGCATGGATGTTCCTGGTTATGTGACCTTTGAAAAGTCTCTACCCTCTTTGTGCCTTGTTTTTTTTTGACCTGCAAAATGGAGATARTCATAGAACTCATGCCCTGGGGAAAATCTCAGGCTTGAAGGAGTCAGTACTGGAGAATTTAAATCAGTGTCTGGCAACTGGGAGAACTCAGCAACTCTRTATTGGGTTTTGGAGACCTCTGACCAGGGTAGCCAATGGGATAGCTAGCTGATAGATCTTAGGGCTGCAGGACCCTTAGGAAAGACTCCCCTCACTGAGACCAGCGAGATCAAAGCCCGGAGCAGGAAGGAATTCACCCAAGGTCACATCAGTGGCAGGGCCAGAATGCAGTTCTTCTGGGGTGGTCTCATGTTGATGACACCCCACCTGCTGCGGGCTGAGCATCTGTCACTGAGGGTCTGGGGGGAGGAAGTCTCCCACAGACGAGACATACCTACCAGGTGTCAGGTATGCTGCAGCCCACGACACAAAGCMCCGCAGAGAACAGGGCCTGGAATTGTCATCTCTTGTCAGCGGATGGGCAGCCTCCCTTCCTTGGCCTAGGGCATCCCTCAGTATCCAGGAAGGGAAGACATTCCAAGTCCTTGTCACTCTACAGTCCGGGGCCTCCCAGCAGGACCCTCAGAGAGCCTCCCCCCACGCTGGTGTCTCACAATGAAAGCTCCATTGAGAGCCTTGTCACACCCAGTGCCAGGTCTGGCCCCCGGTGACACTCTGAGCTTCCATCAGGTGGACCCTCAAAGCTCTCCCCTCCCTTCCCAGGTGCTCCCAAGACGTCGAGACGGGACAGGTCCTCTCAGAGCTCTTCACCAACAGGAAGGAGAACATTCCCCTCCAGTTCTCTGAAGACTGCCTTTACCTGAACATCTACACTCCCGCAGACCTGAGCAGGAGAAGCAGCCTGCCGGTGAGCGYGGGCCCCACTTGTCAAACCTTGAGCTCCAGCGTCAGGGAGCCAGCCGTGCAGAGGAAGGGGCAGAAGGCCGCTGGAGCAGGGGCACTAAGACCAGGATGGCTCGGGCCCAGGGTCCCTTTGCCACAGGAAATATGTGTTTCTCTTCTCTCAGTTTCCACTGGTGACCTCATGCATCTGGGGGAGATTGCTGTGCATCAGGAATGCACATCTTAATATTTTTCAAGTTCTTTCRCCATAAAAGAGGGACAAAAAAGGTTACTCTTAGTTACTGAATTAAGGCTTTGATTCTCAGAGAAGCCAAGACATAATTTCAAATAAAGAAGAGCTGAAAAAAATTAGAGAAAATTCGCGCTGCCTTTATAGGGAGAGAAACCGAGATGGGGAAAGGGACAGGACGGGAGCTCAGGTCTTCTCATCTGTCACCCAACGTCCCTGAGCACAGACTAGGAAGTKGAGCACCTGGGTGGCTTTTCTTCAGCATGCCACCTGTGACCCCTTCCACGGTCCTCTGGAAGCCCCATGGCCTCTCCCTTTCCTGGCCTTTAGCCAAATATCTGGGATGTTCCTGGAGCCATCTCCCTGCCTGAYGGCCCTGGGCGCAGGCTGAGGCCCACAGCATTTCCCCATCAAAGGGAAGGGCCCAGGTGGGGCGGGCTGCCAGGCCCAGGGAGAAGAGCACCTGAGGGGAAAAGAGGCCACACCTGGGGTGGCAGAGGGAGGCATGTCAGCACCCCGCCAGGAACACCTGGAAGGCCACCCAGGGGTTGGGAAGGGGTGTGAGCTTGGGCTGCARGGTGGTCCAGTCCCACCGCCCTGTGCTTTGTACGAATGATGACGTGAGGACAGAAGTTCCCTCCTTCATCTGCTCCTCCTGCTGTGGTGTGCTCAGTGACCCATCTGCCCAGCTGACCTCTGGGCTTAGGGGGAGCAGGGGCACTGCGCCTTGCCCAGCAGCCCCTGCCCTCCAGGTCTTGCCATCTGGCGGCACACGTCCTGGCCTCTCCAGCCTGTCTGTGCTGACCTGTCCTTGAGCTCACCTTCACTCAGGTGACCCCGACTCAGTCCCTCCCTGGGGACGGCAGGATCAGAGGTGCAGGAGGAACAGGGCTCTGGGAGCCTGGAGGCAGGAGACCCCCAGCTGTGGACACAGGGTCTAGAACTCCAGGGTCTGGGTTTAGATCCTGGGTCTGCCTTGGCCTGGCTGAGAGTCTTGGGCAAGTTCTCCACCTCCCTCAGCCTCTGCTTCCTCTCGTGGGAAGAATCCTGTGTGAGTGTCTAATGATGGYRGTCGGKCTTCATCTCGGGCTGGCTGAGTGCGCAGAGCGAGCCTCCTGGAACACAGGTCAGAGCTGCAGGAGGACCTTCCTCCTGCCCTAAGGGCTGGCTCACTGTGCTGTCCMGTGGGCTGCAGGGAGTCAGGCAGCTCTGCACGTGGGCCCTGTTACCAGACAGCCTGGGTCCAATCTTCTGCCACTGATTAAATTAATTGCAAGTCCTTGGGTTCGTGGATGTTCTGTTTTCCTGTGAAATGACTACATTGCTTTTAATGCTTTAAAGAGTTCTCAGTACATAGTTTCTGTTATGAGTTCCTGGTTTTTATTAGCAATATTATTACAAATTATTTTATCCACTCCCATTTCTTCCCTATATGTKAGCTTTCCCAAATAAGAGACGTGAATTTTGAATTGTGATATCCACTCTCACGCTCAATTGTCCTCCTAGTCCCTGGCACGCAGCGGGCTTCCAGATGATGTTAGTTGAATGATTGAAGACTTCCTGGAGGAGGGGGTCATGAGCTAGGCTTAGGAGGGCAGGTAGCCTCTGGACATTCAGAGCAGGCCAAGAGGCTGTTAGGTAGTGGCATCAACGGGCCACATGTGACTCCTGAGACGGTCGTTCCTGCCCAGGGAGTTAGCATTGAAGTACAAGAGCTGCCCCTGGCTTATGTCCAGCTGGTTGAATGTTCCAGGAGTGGGGACCGTAGGGATGTTGGAAAGAACACAGTGTCCTTGGCCTTTGCTGCTCCCGTGATGATGTTCTCGATTTAAGGGCCCTAGGAGGATGTGGCACATGGATCTGGGGAGAAAGGCAGGTGCCCTGAGTGGCGCCCAGCTGGGAGAATGGGGAAGGGATGCTGTCTTTTCAACCCTACTGAGCACTGGGGGGAMTTCTGCTAATGGCCACCTTGACTCACAGCCAAGATATCCGCGATGAAACCAGACATCCTCCTCTATCCTGCTGTCTACAATTAGTGTGGCTGCATCTGTTTTCTCCAGGTGATGGTGTGGATCCACGGAGGGGGTCTGGTGGTGGGCGGGGCATCCACCTATGATGGACTGGCCCTCGCTGCCCACGAAAACGTGGTRGTGGTGACCATCCAGTACCGCCTGGGCATCTGGGGGTTCTTCAGGTAAGGCGCTGGACTCTCCTCTCTGCACATGAGCCCCTGCATTGGCCTGTTTCCAATGGATATAACCAAGTGCCCAAGGCGGGATAAATAGAAAGAAAAAGTCATAAATCAAATTATAAAGAAATCTATTTCGCTCAGTCCCAGATGGGGTGGCTCCATCAGTTGGGCCTCTGGCAAGTGTCCTTTAGCTGAAGTACAATCTTCTCTTTGCTTATGTCCAGCTGGTTGAATGGTCCAGGTGTGAGGTGATGTCAGTGCTGGGGCGAGCTCAACATCCTTGGCCTTTGCTAGAACTAACCAGCGTTCCATGAGCTCTACATTAATCCCTTAAGGGCTGAACCCCAATGACCTAATTGCCTTCTGCTAGACCTGACATCTTACAGGTTCTGTCCTCTCTTAATATCGCCACATCATGGACCAACACCACAGCACATGAGCCCTTGGGAGACAAACTACATTTAAACCACTCACCAAAGCAAAGACWCTTGAAGGGTAGCTTTGCTTGATACAGCAATCATGGTTGGTAGTTATTTTCTTTCAGGACTCAGAATACCTTATTCTAAGTTCTCCTGGCTTTTAGAGTCTGTTCTTTTTTGGCTTGCCTCTAAATGTAAACTGACATTTTTCTCTGGAAGCATGTAATATCCTTTGTTCTCTGTGTTTTTATTATAGTGTGTCACAGGGAGAGGTTTTTTCATCTTGTTTATTTCTGGTTTTGAATRCTTCCTATATTTATATATCTATTCCTTTCCCAAAGTTTGGAAATTTTTCTGATAGTATTTCACTGAAAAGTTTATCCAGCTGGGTACGGTCACACACACMTGTAATCCCAGTGTTTGGGAGGCTGAGGCAGGAGGATCGCAAGTTCAAAGCCAGCTTCAGCAATTTATTGAGGCCCTAAGCAACGTAAWGAGATCCTGTCTCAAAATAAAACATAAAAATATATTTTTAAAAAATGCTGTGGATGTTGCTCAGCGGTTAAGCACCTCTAGGTTCAATCCCTGTTAACAACAACAACAAATTATCCATACCCTTACCTTGTATCTCAGAGCCCTCTTCCATCCCATGGATTCTTGTGTTGGTCTTTGAGTGTCGTCACACGTTTCTTGAATATTCTAAGCATAGTCTGTTTTTATGTGATTTATTGAGTCTTTCATTTCCAAGACTTCTGATTGTTTTTTTTTTTCTCAGAATCTTTATCTTTTCAYTGAAATGATCTTTCACCTCCTGTAATCTCTCAGTTAGTTCATTCCTTAGATCTTCTTTCAGTTTGTTGCTCATTTTAACTGTCAACGTTTTTGATTCTTTGTCCAGGGTTTCAGCCGCTTTGATATTTGTGGATTCAGTTGTTGGGGCATGATYGCCATTTGAAGGTGTTGTGTTCCCTTGTTTTCTGTACTTTTTATATTGAGATTTTCCTATCTGGTGCAAGGCGTTTCTCCCACTGTTGTGGGAGTACTCTTTAGTAAGCTTCTTTCATTTTACTATGTGTCCCAAGCCAGGAGAATATCTCCTTGTAAAAGACCCACTCAGTGTTCACAGTGTTTTGATGAATTGCTTACAGAATTTTGGGGGGGAACGAGAGTCACTTGTAACTGAAAATATACTTACTGGCTTTCAGAGTGTTCAGTATTCTAATGATGGATCTTCCAGCACCCATAAGACAACAGAGTGACAGATAATGCAGCAGAGTAACCCAGACCTTCAGAGATAGGAGGGGGAGTTTAGAGAGGGATTGCAAGAATGGCGGGCTCCAGAGGCAAAGGTCTCCTCCTGCCTCTTCTTTTACCCACTTTTATTCTTCCTCAAATCACTTTCATTGACTGACATTCTCTTCCCATCTCTTTGCTTGTGATCTGTGGAGTGATCCGAGTGCAGTCAGATTTTGCCTATTTTATTCCTAGATATGCTCTAGCTCTAGACCAGTGTTGGACACACAGTAGCTGCTGAGGAATCCTTTCTGGAAGAATGAACGCAGACCCCATGGAACAGTGCTGCAGGAATGAGTGGCAGGAGAGGTTCCTGTGTCAAGGATGCAGAGTCTGACTTTATTCYGGAAGGTTCAGTGAGGGCCCCCAGCCCATCGCTGGACCTGAGAACCCTACTGTGACATCTTTGTCTCCACCCCACTCTGTTCTCTTCCAGCACCGGGGATGAGCACTGCCTGGGGAACTGGGGTCACCTGGACCAGGTGGCTGCTCTGCGCTGGGTCCAGGACAACATTGCCAACTTTGGAGGGGACCCGGGCTCTGTGACCATCTTTGGAGAGTCAGCAGGAGGACAAAGTGTCTCTGTTCTTGTAAGTGCTCTTGGCACCTGCCCCACCCCCAGGCTTGAGGAGGCTGATGATGGAACCTCTTGGAGACCAGCCACTTCAGCCACAGGCACATTTACCTGGGAGACCGGGATCCAGGGATGACTCTGCTCACTGAGCAGTATTAGATGGTGAAGAGTCAAGGCATAAACTCTCCGTGGCCTCCAGGGCTCAACTTCATGTCCTGGGGTCATAGCTTCTCCAGTTGCCTGTAACAATGACTTTCTTCCTACTCCTATTATATTCCCTTTTTCCTACCTTATCATTTAACTTTAAAGTCACCCCGCTTTCTTGGTCAGGATGGGAGAGTACAAGTGACAATGAGAACAGGCAAGGACGTGATTTGGATAAGAGGTTATTGTTTGGCTCCAAGGCAGACCACTGCTTTGAGGGAACRTGATCATCAAGGACAAGCAGGGGCCTCCCTGAGGTGATCGTGCCTAGAGAGGGGGACGCTTTCCCTGGGACCACGGGACAAGTTGGGCTGGGGAGGTGGATGGAGAGCAGGGAGGGAAAGTGGAATGGGGGACAGATGGCACATGGGACATGAATCACAGACACATCCTGGGACATGAGATGTCTTACTGGGRTGAGGAACGGGGCTGGGAGATGCTGAGGGAAGTTCTAGAAGGTGCTGGGGACCCTAACAATCCYGACGATGACCTCAGAGTTGAGCAGAGGGTCAGCCTAATCACTGTATTCTTGAAGCATGTGTCGGTTTCGTAGTTGACTACTCAGAGGAAAATGCTCATACTTTTAAAGTAAAGAATAAAAGGAAGGGGCTGGGGCTGTAGCTCAGTGGTGGAGCACTCACCTCGCACGTGTGAGGCACTGGGTTCGATCGTCAGCACCACATAAAATAAGTAAAGATAGTGTGTCCAACTACAGCTAAAAAAATATTTTAAAAAAAGAATAAATGGAAAAATATACAAAAGTCCAAAGAAGAAGAAGTCTTTATAGTGCCCCAACCCAGAGGCAGTGACTGCGAATAGTGGACATGAACTTCTCTAGTCTTTTTTCCACAATTTTATCTATCTATTAACCATTCACTCCACGMCACCCCCTTCTCTGTCATCTATGTATGTGTTGGGTAAATTTTTACAAAAAAAAAAAAAAAACCATCTTTCTGTTAGATGGTGGTATAACATCAGAGTTTTATTAAATGTTTTAAATCTCCTTACATAACATTATCTTTAATAATTGTCCAGTATTCCATGGTAAGAATGAAAAAATATCATCGAATCTCATATCAGAACCTAAGTTGTTTCAAAGATTTACTATTACAAGAGCATGAACTTTTTAAGAAATTTTTGTGGCCCTCTGTTATCACATTTCTTAGAATAGATTCTGAGTAATGGATATTCCAAAACATAATTTGTGACTTCGATGGGGGAGAMTGTGTAGCCGGGACAGGCCAGGACAGGGAAGGAGGTCTCCTGTCCACTGACCGAAAACTCTTCACGTGAATGGCCAGAGCAGAGGAGCAGGTTGAGAGGCCCTGAAAGCAGGAGGGCTGACCCCTCCCCACGAGCATAGACTCTCCCCCTCCCCACGTCCCTGCAGGTGCTATCTCCCCTGGCCAAGAACCTCTTCCACAGGGCCATCTCAGAGAGTGGAGTCGTCCTCACTGCTGCTTTGGTCAAGAAGAACGTCAAGCCCGTGGCTAAGGTAGGTCTTGCCCTGAACAACTCCCGCAGTATTTCCTCTGCTCTGAAGTCTTTGGGGCACTTTCTTCTTGTGGGACTCAGATGAGGTGCTCCAGGATCACTGGAGGAGGAGGGCTGGGCAGAAAGGTCTCCTTGGGGCTCCCACTTACCCCATGTTCCATGCTTTCTGAAGTGTGCGGTGCACATGATCATATCCAGTTCTCCTTCCCTCTGCACAGGTTCTAGTGTGGGGGAGACATGGTGCACCTCTCAGTACCTCACTGACTCTTCCTCTAAGAAGAGTGTAATCATTATCCTCATCACATGGGGCAACCAAGGCACACGAGTGGCTTGCTGGAGACCAAATAGCGAGTGAGGGGAGGAGAAGGATTTGGAAGCTCTTAACCCTGACTCCAAAGAGCCTCTCTTGAATTCAACTTTGAGGGCACCGTGCCCTGATTACTTATTACTTATTTATTTATGATGCTGGGGAGGAACCCTGAATCATTTTAATGGAGACAAGCTAGTTCATGCCACAATTCCAGCTAGCAAGAGAGGCCACACACCTGTGCAACCCAGAACCCGCACCTGGTGGTCTAGCGTGTCTTCTGCTGCCCCCCTACTGCCCTCAGAAGTTGGCCACGAGATACAACACTTCTTCCCATATTAATAGAGAGAAGGGACATTTCTCTTAAACTATGCTAATTGCCTGTGATCTGTGTAGCAAATTGCTATTGCTGCTGGGTGTAAAACCACCACGTCGGCAGTCATGGTTCACTGCATGCGCCAGAAGACGGAGGAGGAGCTCTTGGAGATGACAGTAAAAATGGTAGGTGCCTCATTTCAGTAGCCCCAGCCTAGGGACTTGATCCCAGGTTTCATGGATTCGGCCCTCCTGAGTCAAACTATCTATCCCATGTAACTGCCATCCTGAATGATTTGGGGGCTGGGATATTAAGTGCAAAGTTTTCAGGAAAGTGTCACAATTTATCTTGGTTGTTTAGAAGCTAAGTTATGATGTTAATAGCCACATTTTTCTCTAGATTTTTCTGAGACTGTGACTCAATTAAAATTTTAAGATAGGCATTTACGTACCTTCTCATTTATCTTCCATCTATTCTTCCATCCAATTCATTCACATCCTTTTATCAGTCTAGCTGTCAATCCATCTATTTTCAGTCTATCTGTCATTCGTGAGTCATTCATCCAACATATATCTATACTTTGTCACCCAGTCCTCCAGAATCAATGATCCATTCATTACTTTTAGTAATCATCTGTTTATTCACATATTCATGCAGTTTCATCCATAGTAACTAGTAATGGCCAACTCCACCCATCTGTCCATCCATCCATCCATCCACCCATCTATCCATCCATGTGTCTATCCATTCTAAGAATATGGAACGGTGGTGTCATGGCAGAAAATCAGACATAAATTGAACAAAGTATGTTCTCACGAAGGGCTCTCCAAGAAGAAACAGCCACATACCTGTATGGTGAGTTAATTGTGGTAGGAGAACAGAGAAGGGACACATTCATTATAGTCATCAGGGTGCTTTTCAGAGAGGGTGACATTAGATAGTTGATGGATGGTCATGGCAGTCTCTCATCATAGGGAAGTTTAGCCAGAAAAACAACAAAAGCAGCCTGCGTCCGGGACCTACGGGGAAGTGAGGAAAGTTTAATGTGGGCTCAGGTGACTGCTGCTTTCTCTCTAGACCTTGAACACCAGAAGCCATTGGGAGCCCACGGGGCAGGCCACCYGCACTGTGTTCTGCTTATGATTCTGTGGGTTGAGTCCAGTGTGGCCTTGGGGCTTGGGTCCTGGTCCATCATGATCAAATAAGGTGATCAAGGTGTTCCAAGAATAAAGACACCACTGTCTTACAACACCCAGAAAGAGACAAATACCCAGTCATTCTCTGTGTGGCACAAGAGGACCCCGTTTATATGACCAAAGAACCTAAGATTCCAGGACTTCCCATTGAGATTTTCTGAGTTTTTATGGAAGTATTCCCACGATTATGGACTGTCCTTGGTGCATACACATGTGCACAGTCACACACACACACACACACACACACACACACACACACTTCGTGATGGAGGGAATTCTAGGGGTCCTTTCCTACGTAAGCTCAGACCTGCGACCCGACGTGTACCCATCGGTCATTGTAACCTTGGTGAACACGTGGCAAAGCAAAGTGTGGGGGTGGAATGTGTTTTGGTGAGTTTGGGTGTTTTTCTAATGGGAGATGTGAAAATTCATTTCAAGGTTCTTTGAACAGTAAAAACACTGTATTGTCACAGAATCCCCAGGTAAGTGAAAAGTTCATGGGCAGATGGCGTAGGGCRTGGCTGGGGCCAGGGACCCTGAAGAGGTTATCGAATCAACCTGGGTCTACCCCTCAGCTTCCACTCTAGTGGCTTCTTCCTGAAGAGTTGTCCCCTGGGGAGAACAAAGACAACCACAGTCTAGACTTGCATGCTCTCTGCTCACAGGCCATCTGTTCCCATCATTTGCCAGAGGTGGGTGGCATTAGCTATGCAGTGATAGGCTTGGGGTCTGTTCTGTTGSACTGACACTGGCTTTCACCCATCCTTGCAATAGTAGCTGTATGCAGGGACATGGAACATTCTAGGTCACACATGGTTTCCTGTACCCATGAGGTGGAGCAGGGAAGGGGGGGAGAGAGGAGGMAGTGCTTTTCTCTCCTCGTCCATCCCACCTCCTGCTCCATCTCCTGGGAGTTGCCATAGCCCATCACCCAGGCACCATGGTGCCCCTTTCCCCAGAGGAAATGTRGGGGTGGTTACCAGAGGGACTAAGTGGGAGAGGAGGCCACCACTGACAGCAGGGTCCTCCCCAGRGCTCCAGGGCCCTGACTCTGGGGCCCAGGTCTCTCCTGCCCAGGCCGCTGCCAGCCCCTCCCCCGTCCTACAACTCTACCCTCTGCCCCTGCCCAGTGGAGCCCTGTTCCTCTGGGTCCAGCCAAGGAGGCACCCGGTGGGAGAGCCTGATAGCTACGGGGCACCAGTCAAAGGATCCGTTTCTAAACCAAGAAGGCTTATCRCCCACATCCCTGTCTTTATCTTTATCTTCTTTTGAGTTTTGATGTATTTGGAGATCCTGGAGAGGTAAGGACTTTTGGGTTCTTGATTACAGGTTTTGAGTCTTAAGGTCTTTAAGCTCCAATTCACGATGAATGGAAGAATTCTCCTTTGTGGAATCACAGTCCCTCCTTGTGTGTGTCTTGCTGAGGCCCAGAGAGGGGAGGTCACTTTCAGGGTGACACAGCCAGGTGGACCAGAGGCAGCACTGCAACCCACTCCCCTGACTCCCAGTGCAGTGCTCCCAGTCGGCTCGTCTGTGTCCGTGGGCCAAGCTTTCCCCTTCCTGTTTACATCTCCTGCTTAAAACCTGTCCTTGCTTACAAGGCCGATCCCCTTGCCTCCACTGAGTCAGCTCCTTTACGCGTCCAGGTGGCCCACTATGTGCCCAGTGTTGTTCGGGAAGCACCTCCACCTCACAACCGTCTCTTGTCCTTGCCGGGAGGCATCCCTCCAAGCCCAGGGCTCTGGGACCTTCCTGGGACTAGCCCGGCTCCCCTCTGCCCTGGGCTCATACCATTGCCCCGTCACAGCCTTCACTCTGAAGGCCACTGCCGAGGCCAGCRCCTGCTCGAGGTCCCTGCGAGTGTCTTCTCTCCCGTGAGCTGCTCCTCTTGCTGGCTTCCCAGGTCTTAGAACTGCAGGACCTTCCTGCCTTCTGGATTCTGCTCTGTGCTGTCAGCCTTTCGGAGCAGGACTTGGCCCTGGGTTTGATATTTTTCCCTCTCAAATATGGAATCCAGGCTCAGCTTAGGCCCCTCCAGGGATGAGCGCAGTATATCCTCAAGGCTAGTGATTTCTCTATATGAGCGCAAGCTTAAACCAGGTGACAGCTGGACACATAGATAGACAGACGGACAGATGCAGTAGACCCTCGCTAATCATAGATTCTGTATTCACGAGTCCATTTACTAGCTAACACGTGTTTGTCACCCTTAAATCAATGCTTGTGACACACTCATGGTCACRTGCCCCAGATGCACAAGTCGGAGTCTCATGAAGCCCACATTCTCCTCTGAGGTCCCATGAACAAATGCTCTTCTTGCTCCATCTCTTGTGCTACCAAAGGTCCTTTGTGCGGTGGCTTGGATGCCACCTTTTCACTTTCTTGCCCTCTGCTGATGGTTTCCCTGTCAAAAGCTCTTCTTGAATACAGTCAGGAAGTGCTGTCTGGTATTCCTAAGTACAAAGATGTGCCTTCTCCTTGTGGAGGACATAAGTCTCCGTGAGCTTCTTTCTGGCTTGAGTTATGCTGGTCTTGGCTGTGAGTTCAGAGGAAGAGGGGGGGTCTGCCTCTGTGTGGCAGAGTCCCCTCTGCAAAACTGTGGAAAGATGGAGAAACAGCTGAACGTGTGTCTTTGTGAGATGATGAAGTTCTGAAATCCCTAGTGCACTGTTGTGGGCCGAAGCCAAAGACATTTCCAATGTTGTTACCCAGGGTTGGGGCAATAATGGGCCCTCCCCGGCTGGCACTTCATGATGAATAAACAGCACACATAACAAGTTCTTTATAAGAAMTGCTTGTTACGTAACCTGCCTTTAGACAGGACCTCACACAGAAAACAAGAATTACGAAAACATTCCATTAGAGGCTCAGAGGGCCTAACTCTGCAATTCCCCCATAGGCAGGGCTCAGTTTTCACTCATTCAGCATTTGCTGCAGCTTCACAGGTAAATAAATATGCATGCATATACAGAGTGTATGCTACAAATTCAAATAYATAATGCACATGATACACAGTTTCGTTTAGTTGAAGATCAGCCGCCATCATCGTATCTCCGCTACCTCCCCAAACTTCGTTCCTAGAATTAGACCTCCTTGTTAGGACCCTGAGATTCTGGGAGCACTGTCCAAGCCACAGGGGCCTGTGTGCTGGCCAAGCCCTCCAACAGGCAGAGAGGGAGCCCTGGGTGTCCCCCGGGGCGGGTGATGACACCGTGTGCCACTGTCTTCCCTAGGACCAACCTTCCCTGCTCACTGTGGTTGACGGAGTGTTGCTGCCCAAGACACCCGAAGAGATTTTGGCTGAAAAGAATTTCAACACTGTCCCCTACATGGTGGGAATCAACAAGCAAGAGTTTGGCTGGATCATTCCGATGGTGAGGGCGTGCAGGCCTCTGAGACASAGGCACCCACACACAGGCTCACCCGCTTCCCTCCCTCTGAGCTCCCATTTCTCCATCTCCAGCTCCTCTGGGTCCCACTGGGACCAGCTGACATTTTCTTGGGAACCTTCTCCAGGATGACCAAGCTCTCTCCTGAGTAGAGTGACCCTGGGAACCCCTTTCCCCAAACACCCATTCATTATTTTTCTATAAAGAATCCTGAAATGTCCCGGCAGGGAGGGCCTACCTGGAGAATAATTGTGAAAGTGGGAAAACCGAGCGTTTCCCGAGGGAGGAAGGAGCTGGAAAGTTCAGAGGAATTAGGTCCGACACACAGTGGCTTCCACCTTGGGCCCCACAGATCCCCACACGAGTTCTCAGGCACTTCATTGGAGAGATTCAGAAAAGTTGCTCCTGTCTTGTAAAAGGGAAGAAGAAAAAAATAAATAAAGGAAAAAGGAAAGAAGATATTTTTTTCTCTCAAAGCTGACCACTAGTTAAAGCAACAAGAAGTTTTCTTCAGTAATACAACAGCAACAGGGAAAAGATCAAGCATGACCTGAACTCCGATCACCCACAGCAAAAGCTGGAGAGGTCTCAAGGATGGGGTGTGCCCCGGGAGGCATGGTGGTGTGAGGGGTGAATCCATGAGGTTAGACCACGGGACTTCTTGGTCCATGAGCAGCTGTGGGAGAAGCGGACTTCATGGGAGGAAGCAGGGGTGTTCGTTGAAGGAAGGCCTCCACAGAACTTAGACTTGTATCATAGGCAGACATCACGGGGGTCCTGGGGTCAATTGACCCCAAACCTCTGGAAGCCTTGCTGGAGTTGGGTCCAGGAGTGCAGAGGTTGGGTGGGGTTATTTTTCATGCTGAGAGGTCTGCAGTGCTCACGTCAGAAGGATTTCAGAGGTTCTTCCAAATGGACAAACCATCACGGTGGAGTTTGGCTTCCTTGGTTATAAGTATGTGGGGGATGTACCCTCGCTCCCTGAGCCGTTCACTTCAAACCCCTACCCTGGCCTCAATTTCCCCCCCTCCTAGATGGCCACGGTGTCTCTGGGCATGACAAATATGGTTATTTAAGGCTTCCTCTTTCTATTCCCTGAGTTTCTGTATACAACTCCTTTTGTCTCATTGATTTTTTTTTTTCAAACTCATGAACGGCCCATGAACATAGGGACCCCAAAAGGACCTTCTATCTGCCCTTGTGTCTCGGCCGGCTCATTTGGTTCTTCCTGCTGGTTGCTGGTGGTTTTCGGGTGTGCGATCCTGCTCTCTCTCACACAGGTATTGTGGGGCTACCCGCTCTCTGAAGGCCAGCTGGACCAGCAGACGGCCACGTCGCTCCTGTGGAAGTCCTACCCASTTGTCGTAAGAGCCTCGGGAATTAGCTGAGAAACAAAGAAGGGCTGGGGCTCCCCCGAGTCACCGACCACCTCGATAGCAGGAGAAACCCCTGAGACCCCGGTTCCAGCCCCATTTCCCCCCCTTTCCCTCCCCGCCACCCCAGGCGGGATTTGCACACGGGGCCCAGGAGCGTCACAGCCAGGGAGCCTCTGCGTGGCTCTCAGGTGGGCGTCTCTTTCTTCATGACTTCAGAACCTCTCTGAGGAACTGACTCCAGTGGCCACTGAGAAGTATTTAGGAGGGACAGACGACCCTGTCAGAAAGAAAGASCTGTTCCTGGACTTGATGGGAGAYGTGCTTTTTGGTGTCCCATCTGTGATGGTGGCCCGTGACCACAGAGGTGAGTCCCAGAGGCTGCATCTGGGAGAGGACCTCACACCCCCCWGCTGAGGTGTCCGACGGGCCCTTCTCTCAGCACAGACAGATGTGGAAACCGCCAAGGGCCAGGGCTCCATGTCTGATTCCATGTAGCCTGGGGAGGGGCCCTGTCCTATCTGTCTCTGCCAGTAGCTGACTAAGAAAAGCGTCCAAACGCAGGTATTTAATTGGTATGGAGATGAGGACGTGACACAGGAAGAAACGGGAGCCCATCTTTATGCGCTGCCCAGCACACGTCCCCTGTGGAYGGCTGGGGAACTCTGGGCAGCAAACAGCAGCCACACCCCAGGGCTGCCCCTCAGAGCGGCGGGTGCTGGTTACTTCTCCAGCCTTTTGTCCCTGGTTGAAGGCTGTTCCCTGGGATGGTTTATTCTGCGGCATTTTGACCTGCTACAAACGTGGGCAAAGTAGATTTTAGTGACCAGACAAAAGCTTGAGCAAAGAGCTCTAGAGGGTGGAGGAGGCCGTCCGGGTGGCCTGCCCAGACCAGGGGACATGAGTGAGGCACAGATAGCTTCTGCTCCAAGGCCCCTTCCCTGGGTCCTGGGACCAGAAGGCAAGTATTGGAAGATGGGTCTGGGGAAGTTTTTCAAGGTCAAAGCTTGCTCTAAAGTTGTYAACTAGTGCAGGTGGGTAAGGGTAGGATTCAGTATAGGAGCAGGAGGGGACAAGGACAGGGCAGCAGGAGGCACACGGACCGGGCAGGGGCCAGTTTCCGAGTCCATGCTGGTTTGTCTTTCTTGCTGTGTGCGGGTGTGGGCCACCTGGGGACTGACTGAGGTCTTTACAGGACYTTCCAGCAAGGACCCAAGGCGGGGTGGTTGGAGGGCTTTCTTACGCTCACAGACAGGTGAACTCACCTGGGCGGGAGGTGTTTCGTATTCCAGGTACCTTTAGAAAGCCTCTCAGGCTTTGTTACCAGTCCTCATTAATCTAGCCTCAAGCTGGGAAATCATTATTTGGCCCAGACCTCTCTCCATAAAGTGCTAAAAGAGTTTTAAAATTCAGGGCTCTCTAAGCATGTCGAAAACCAGCTGAGCTATTCTCCTGTTTTAGCTATTGTTGTTGTAGTTACCTGCTAATAACTACAGGTAAGGAGAAAAGGCACAGTGAGTAGAGAAAAATAAGRTATTCTGAGAGCTACAACACTCACTCAACTTACAACGGTTACATGAACAAACTGTATTTACGTTCATTTATGGGGTAGGGAGTGATACAAAGTTACTTTGGCTGCTTGCTGCTTAAACTAAGTTCTCTGGTTCACAAGAGTTCCTTCCTCTCTGAGTGGGTTCTGAGCTCCTGTCTAAACCGGTTGGATGGCAGAGGCAAGGTTAAACCCTCGGACCGTGAGTTCTGCCTGACTGGGAAGCAGATGTTAATGAGGGATTCGAGTCACAGAAGGACTCAGTCACACTCTCCCAAGGGGCACTTCTCAATGAGCCAAGGAGCAGTCTGCACAGGCTGAGAGGGACGATTCAGTGTATTCTCCTTGTTCTCCTGTGGTGATGCCATATATTGTCAAATGCTTTGTGGGTAAATGTCTGATGGTGGGAAGCGATGATTATCATACATCCCAAAGTAGCATAGGATATTATGCCAATTTATAGACCCAAAAATCATATTTGCTAAAATATTGAAGAAGCTTTCTCTGAGTGCTGTTTTGTTTTGGTTTTTTCTTCCTTATTCTGCATTTTTCAACTTTCCTACTCTACCCAAGGGGAAGTTTCTCCACCAGCCTGATTTGGTGTCTGACCCTTCCCCTCCTAGAGTCTCCCTATGTGAACATTGTGACTGATGAAAAATGGTGAGGTCTCTGGTATGGGGGTCCCTGAGTTAGTCCTGAAAGGGCAGGGCTTGGTGGGTTGGATGAGCTATCGACAGAAAAGGTGGCCTCTTCTATGGGCTTGGACAGTAGGGTTTGGTGCATAGAGAGCCTGGCAGGAAGCGTGGAAAGAGAGGTGAGGACAGGCACGCTCACCTCCTGTGCCCCTTCTGTGGTGGGCATCACTGTATCACCCTAACGACCTCACAGTCCCCTGGCCAAGCAGGAAGCAGGACATGCAAGGTATGAATCCAAGAGATCTGTGTTTTCTTGAATCACGAGAGGCAGATGGCTCCCTCTGTGGACATACTTGTCTTTAAACCTCCTCATTTGCAGACAAGCAGCTTGGATTTGCTGCTACCGTCTCTGAATGGGTGAGAACCTCAGAAATGCTCAAAATCAGAGGAATAGGAGGCAGGTTGTAGAGATTGTTGAAGGGAAGGAGCTCTAGTGTGATCTCAATGAAACATGACTCAGTATTTATTTGATTCATTTAATTCATTCATTCTGTGCTTCAATAAATATCTGACTCAAATCCCAATTCCACTTTAAGCAGCTCTGCAGCCCTAAGCTAGTCCCTGGGCTCTCCAGGAGCTCTGTTCCTGTCCTGGCTGACACCCAGGGGTTTCCTGCACAGCCAGAGACCTTGAGACCATCCAGCTGCGTGTCTGGTGAGGTGACCTGTGCGCACATCCGTGTCTTCTCAGATGCCGGAGCCCCCACCTACATGTATGAGTTTGAGTACAGCCCGAGCTGCTTATCCGACGTGAGACCCAGCACGGTGACAGGAGACCACGGGGATGAGCTCTTCTCGGTATTTGGAGCCCCATTTTTAAAAGGTAACGGCCTTTGCTGGCTGTTCGTTAGGGGGCCTGGGTTCCAGTCTTGCTTTCCTGGCCTTGAGCAAGTGTCCCCTGTTCTCTGTGAACTTCCTGACTCACTGTGACAGGGCTAAGCAGCGCTGGGCGGGCCTCTGCTCTCACCTGCAAGAAGGGGGATGTGTACTCCTGATGGTCCTCCAGGCACAGAATCTCAGAGTCCTGACCTGAGAGCTGGAGGGTCACCTGCAGAGCCCTGTGTGGGGGCCACTGCTTGCCACTGAGGGATCTTCTACTAACAACAGAACACAACAATGAGGGGAAAGTTAGATTAGGTGCTAACCTTGACCTGAATGTCATGTGTATCTGTCTATATAATTATAATMCATATATTTTATCTGGAATTTTTAATGATACTTCAAGAAAAGCATTCACAGTAGCTTTGATATCTTAACTCAGCAGTTGCAGATGACTTATATGACTCACCTCACGGCTGTTTGTGACATGCCCGACGACTCCCACTTGGGTGACACCTGAGGATCCTGGCTTGTCTGATATTTTTCAGACTCTGAAAATGTGGATGCATGTAGGAGATTAAGAGTCAGCAGTCCCACCTAGTAGAGGGAACCCTGTGTGTGGCCTTAGGACCCTGAGTGGGGAGGGCCAGGGCAGATGGCTTATGGATGGACAGCATGCCCAGTGCCATCCTAGACCAGCCGTTCTCAAGCTGAAAGTGCACACCAAGGGACAGGCTCTTCGTAATAGGCAGACCTGGACCAGTAGGTGTGGAGTCAGGCCAAGAGTCTGCTGTCCACAAGCTCCCAGCTGCTG